TTCAAAGTCTGCATCAGCATCCTGACTACATGGACTTGTGTGATTCAGTTTCCTGGAAGTTTCCTGAAGTCTTTCAAAGGACGTCGAAGTTGGAGAGACGTACTGTAAGCTAATACAGCCTCTGGTATATTTGCGTATTGTTTGGTACTGTTAGGTGGCTTCTGCTTCGGGAGGGCTACAGTAGGAGACCCAGGTGGCAGTGGTTAGGAAGGATGAAAACTGGCTGCTGCTGTGGATACTTCTAGGCACTGTTCTGGAGATACTCTTTCAAACTCGGTTCTACGCGTACCCTGCTCTTGTCTTTCCTCGGCCTTGAAAAAGCAGCAGAAACAAAAGCCTGGATTTCAGGCAAGTGTACCTGCTTGAAAAACACTAAGCTTAACGTTGATTAGTCCAACTCGCTGAGTAAATAATTATGCTTCCTAGTAGTTTACTTCGATGTGGATTGTCATGTTACTCAGTTTGAAGTATCGCTTCTTTAACCAGATTTTTCTGGCTGCTGAGAGTGTGATGGTGAGGCAACATCTATTCTTGATGATGTGTTGTTTCCAAAGCCTCACTCACGCTGCAGTCCTTTGCCATCTTTTTAGAGCTCTAAATCAAATATGCATTTTCGAGTCTGTTTAGCCTGGTCTTACATTGCCCTGGAGGCGAGTAAACCCTTGAGTTGATAGTTTGGCTTCTGTGTGTGTTTTTTTCAGTAAGGTGCCTGCGGCTTAAAGCAACGTGTTCCTTATCGTGCTTTATCACACCAAGTAAGTCGTATATTAAAAATAGGTTTTTGCATAATCTGTGTTTTGAATACAGGTTATTTTGAGGTGTTCTGAAATACTTTGCGTTCAAATAGCTATAATCTAGTTGTGTATTACATTGGATATTACAATTTAAACCCTCAGTTTAGATACAAGCATGAAATATATATACTTAGCTCTATATTATTTCAGCGTATTATACTCCCGGCATTCAGAGTCTTTGAACTTTTATCGGTGTCATAAAAACCGCTTCAGTGGTTGCTGGTCTTGGCTTTTGCAAAACACTGAGGATGATACTGAGTACAAGAGCAACGCACAAAAAGGTGATCGGAGGTTCCTGTAGTCTGGCTTGGTGGCGGAGAGGAGTTTTGATCATAGTCACTTACAGCAGACGTGATTTACCACAGCCCTGAGAGTCGCTGTGCTTTGTCGGCGTTGATTCTGTGTGTGTGCAGACGGACGTGAAATGCTTCCGAACCAGTTCAGTGGGTTCTCTGCTCTGGCGCTTGGCAGAACGAGGGCCTTTGTCGTTTCTGTTTCTTTTCATAAAGAAGTGGAAGTTAGGCATTGGAGGCTAAAGGTGAGCACTTAGGACTCTACCTAGTAACATGCAAACGCTTTGCCCCAGGATATATTGTTTAGATGTTTATGTACATACGGTTATGAATTTAAATGGGATTTGTTCCTTATCTCATGTTTAGAAATAATCTGTAACTGTGCTGTGTTTTGTATACAAATTGAATAGTGATGTTGTATTCGTTGTGGTAATTCTGCTATAGAATTTGGATTTGAAGACGTGTTTGCTTGAATTATGTAAGTTTGCATGTCTGCAATACAATTCTATATGGCTTTAAGTGCCAGGCCTCTAGGTTTGATACCCAAACTAGCTTTTACGTAATTGCAAAAGATGCCGTGGCTACCTATTCGTTACCTTGCAGGTGGGAAACTGGAAATGAAACCTGGCCGATTTTGTCGTATTTCAGTCTCTGCATACCCTAGTCAGTGGAAAGCTCTTCTCGGTGTAAGGATTGCTGGGCTGCCAGAATTGATCTCGTCTGCCCCATTAGCCTCTTATTTAAATATAGTTCCTGATACTCCTGTGGCTGTTTGTCTTTAATACATACATATATTGAAGAGATACGTGTAGCAGAAACATGATTAGAGCCTGCCGATCGCTCTGGTTACTTGTAAAGCTTCTTGGAGAGAAGTTTCTTAGGATGGGTGCCAACCGTCCTCTCTTTTAGAGGTGCCTTTTCAAAGGAAAAACGAGCCAGGACACCGTTGCAGGAGGGGAAGCTGGCAACATGGAAAACTGGTTCAAACTGGGAGCTGGTATGAAGCAGCAGTGCACTGCTTTCCAGAACTGCCTTAAATTAGGTTGAAATACCTGTTTCCTAGTTTGGTTTTCCTGACACTTCAATTCTAGAGCCCCCATCAACAAATCCTTCTATTCCTTCAAGTGATAGTCTGAGGTAGAACTATGTATGTTGTGCAAGAGCGGGCTGCACAGTGAACAGCTGGAATGTTTTGGCTGCACAGTGAACAGCTGGAACAGTAACTGGAGTACGTCTTCCCAGGAGTAGCCTTTTCTGGAGGAAAGTAGTATTATAGTAGGGACAAGGGATACTCAGGATCCACTATATTAAAAAAAAAAAAGTAGTTTGTTAGAGTACAAGACGGGGCGATTCTTTATAGTACTTAAACATGCAACATGTGAGCAGCTAAATAGACAGGTAGTCTCACTGATGTAGCGTAACTCAAATGGCTGCTTTTAAGAGGTGATCTTCTACTGCCCAGTCATGGACTGACGTGTGGATCAATAAATGTCATGATACAACTGAGCTGTATTGCTTGGATTTCTTAGCCTCGTTGATGTGGTGGTCTTCTGGTCCATCTTCATCTCTGTAGTAGATGACCCGAATGCTAGCTCTCGCAACTTTTACGTCTGACCTGCATACACATGGCACTCCTTGCTATTTCAAATGTGTAGTTGGTGTAACAAAAATTAGTATTGTGATTGTATGAGAAGAACTTGTCTTCAAGGTCCACCAGCTAAACATACGACACTAGGGTTTGAAATTCTAGTGTATGCAGTAAGTACTTGTGTTCGCTGTTGAACTAATTAGATGCTGTGTCCTGCCTTGTCTTGAATAGGTTTGTTAGGATCACATCTTCATTCTGCTGGTTCTGTTAAGAAAAATACGCCATTCTCCGTTTTGCCTTCGCTCTCTTCTTACTCTGTTCTTTTTCTTTCTTCTCTCCCGTATCGTTTACGGTTCGTTCCTTAGGTTTTCTGCCATTGTTCTCTCTTCTCAATTTTCGTATCGTTCTTCCAAGTTGCATAGCTGGAGATCTTCGTTCACCAGGGACGAAACACAGATAATCTGAAAACTGAATGTTTATGGACACAATCTGCTATTGGATGGGGCCAAAGAGCAGACAGCGTGCATTCAGCGGCTGGAAGTTGGGCTCAGTCTGGGCTTGCCAGATTTATCCTGTACTTCAGGTGGACTATGTCTTGACTAGTCTTGTCTTTAGGTATTGACAGAACGTTTACAGGAATGCTGTCTTCATTTGCTGTCACGTAACTGGTACTAGACGGTATCTGTGAATGTTCTCTAATTCTACAATTCGTTAATTTTTAGGTCAGCAGGGGCAGGAGATTCTAGTTCAGTTGTTAAGACAGTACCTTTTGTGAGACAGACTTCACCTTCAGAGATTCAGCCTGGGTTGATTTTGTGTCTTACTGAAGCAGGTTTGCATCTTAGACGAAAATTCCACTTCGGCTGTCCTGTTCTTCCCCTGTTTGGCCTGTGTTGTGCAGATGTGTGAAGGGAAGGATAGTCTAAGGTGCAATATTAATTTTTGATGCCTTCATGGTATCAGTCATATGCTGAGCTTTCCGTTACGCTTTTCTATGCATTTGGAGTGGTAACTGTGCTGACTCTGCGAAAGAGAGATGAAGTACTTAAATTGGACCCTTCTGGAGAACCTCTTTACAGTCCTCTTCGTCTGCTTCTTCCCTGGTCACTGCTAATAACGCTTAATTTCCTAACACGGAGCCAGCATAAGTGTCTTCTAGAAGAAAGGCTTGTGCTTTGGACTATGGGAATGTCTTGTGAGGGGTCGGGAAAGGCAGTTCTGGAGACAGTGCAGAGAGCTGTAAGTGGTGTTCTTCCGTATGGGCTTTGCCCGTTCGATACCACGCTCCCGTCTGGTTCTATTTTGCGGTGTTAGCCTGGGAGCGAGATGTGCACAGCAGAGATCCTGCCCTGTCTAGGAGTTACTGTTCTCAGCTTTTTCCCAGATCCTGTAATCTTCTATCAGGTGGTGAAAGACGGGATCTGGATCATATTGCTCTTAAAGAAGCTGAAGTTCTTGATGCAAGTAACACTGAAAATATTGCTAATTTAATTATTATCAGCCGATAGTTTCTTTTAAAGCACTACTTGGAATTGAATAACTTACTCGTAACCCTTGGGGGAAGAAAAAGTGTTTGTGGAAAAGCGACTTCTTTACTCTTGGTGGACTGCTGGAACTTCAGGGAACTTAAAACTTAGTTAGGAGTGAGTCCCTTGTGGTTTAGTGCCAGACTGTAGGCTGGAGAAATGCCCGTATCAGCTGCCAAATGTGTATCATCCTCTGTAGCCTTCGCTGGTGCAGCAGACTGCATTTAGTGAGGCTGCGCGTTTCTGGAGGGACACGTGGAGTGCGACTGGAGTGGGCCCAAACCTCAGCAACGGACTTTTGTGGGGTGGTAGGATGTGTTGTGGTGAGGAACACTCATCATCGGCCCGTGGACGAGGACAGAGCTGCTCCAGCTGTCCCCCCGGGCTGCTGCCCCTCTCCAGAGCTCAGAGGGGTGGGTGTGACGGTACCTGGGAGCAGGGTAACAGCAGTGCCCTGCTGGCACTAACCTGGCAGTCGTCACATGCCCAGCTTCCCTTGTCTCTGTTAGGGTGGCGGAATTGTCTGGATGCCCCTCGCTCAGGCTGTCTGCTGTTTCTGTTCTCCTGTCCTAATGAAGTGCAAACTGGGTGGGTGATTTAATCTTGGGTGGGTGGTTTGCTTCAGTTGCAACTTTTGAGTGTAAGAGACAACAGATAAGCAAAAGGACAAACAAGTGACAGTTTTCACTGGTGGAGACTGTAAAGAAGCTTCCAACACACGATGATGTTTTTTCAAAACCAGTTTTGAAAAAATAAAGCCACCGTGTAGGCCCTTGTGTAAACCGCGTGTTTCTTGCAGGGGTGTAAACGGAGAATCGGCCGGCTCAGGCTTCACCTTGCGCTGGGAGGCAGCCATGGGTCGTACAAACCGCGGTCGGTCAGGTGGGAGGGTGCTGCGGCGGGGCTGGGGCTGGCCGGAGGACGGGCCTCGGGGCGTTACTTCGTGCTCCAGCCGGTGGGCTGTGGGTGGGATAAACACAGCGGTGTGGGTTTGACAACTCGGGATGGATGGTCTGGGGTTTGAACTGCAGCCTTGTGGGTGGGATAAACACAACGGTGTGGGTTTAACAACTCAGGGTGGATGGTCTGGGGTTTGAACTGCAGCCTTGTCTGTCGCGGCGTTACCGCGTGAAGGTCAAACTGTTGAAAGACCATCTGATGTCAGCCAAACGCGGGCGCGTGGGTGGGAGCTGCTGCCCCGGCTGGGGACGTGGTGGGGTGGGACAGCAGGCGGGCTGGGCAAGCTTTGCTAGTGCCCTTGGCCTTGTTCTGGGGACTGAAGGGTACGGCGTTGCGAAATTAATGTGGTTTATGCTTTGATCTCACCTAGGAGAGAGCAAGCATCGTGCCTTGCAAACTGATAAAACATTTCCCTTGGCACAGTCCTTTGCAGAAAGCGTTGGTTACCTGTTGGGCAGCGTGCTGCCTCTGTTACCGTAGGAAAGTTGAGCTGATGCCAGTCATGCTGGGGATTTTTTCATTCTGTTCCTCTAGAGCTGACCAGGGTGGTGAGAAGTCCTGCGTGCGTCAAGCGGAGCAGCAGAGATCTAGAGCTGTTTGGAGAAACCTAGGCAAAGGTTTAAAATACCGTTTGCTCGCAAAACAGGGAAGAGTGGTTTGTACAGCATTGAAATAAGGGCAGTTTTGCCAGGAGAAACTCAAACTAATAGGCTGGCAGGTTGGGGGCTGTAATGTGTCGGATGATCGAGTGCTAATCTTTTGTGGGTGAAGAGTGATGGCACTCTGTTCAGTGCAAGTATTTATACAGTCCGTATGGGCCGCGATTAAACCTGAAACGTATCCAGCCTGTTGTGCCATGCTGAAAGTGGAAGGACTTTGTAAAAGTTACTGCAGAGGCGTTCTTCACATAAGTTGACTTGGTATGGAGATTAATCTGGGGTAGATTTGATGGGATGAGTGTGTGGTTTGTATGTCTGTAAGCAGTAATTCTTTTACTGCTGTCTCTAGGCGATACGTTTTGTTGCCTTTTCAGAGCCTCCTGTTGATGCAAGAGGAACTGATGATAAATGACGTGCGTTTCATGTTCTCTACTGACTTGGTTTTGCCATCTTGCTTTTTCAAAGCTTTCCATAAGGCAGATACGAAGCTTTCATTTTCCCAGGACTCGTGTCTTTCAAACGGTGGCTGCATAATGTGGACAGGTTTTCAAATGCAGCAAAAGATCGCTCAAAACCTTTAATTTTTTTTTTTTTTTTCTTCTCTTCAAGGTTTGGACCCCACGGAATCCCTGTGACCATATTTCCTAAAAGGGAGTACAAGGATAAACCCGAAGCCATGCAGCTCCAGAGTAAACCATTCCAAGACGAGGCACAGGTGAAGTGTGAATCGAATGCTGCAGTCCCTGATGACTCTTCCCTCGCGCAGCCGTCGGAACCTAGCATAGCTAAAAGCCTATGGACTTCGAAGCCACCTCCTCTGTTTCATGAGGGAGCGCCATATCCTCCTCCTTTGTTTATCAGGGACACGTATAACCAGTCAATACCTCAGCCTCCGCCCCGGAAAATTAAGCGGCCCAAGCGTAAAATGTACAGGGAGGAACCCACTTCGATCATGAATGCTATCAAACTACGGCCCCGGCAGGTCTTGTGTGACAAGTGCAAAAACAGTGTTGTTGCAGAAAAAAAAGAAATAAAAAAAGGTGGCAATGCAAGTGACTCTTCAAAATATGAGGATAATAAAAAGCGAAGAAATGAGAGTGTGACTACTGTGAATAAAAAACTTAAGACTGACCATAAAGTGGACGGAAAAAGCCAAAACGAAAGCCAGAAAAGGAAGGCTGTGGTCAAGGTTTCAAATATTGCCCACAGCAGAAGCAGAGTAGTTAAAGTTTCTGCACAAGCAAATACTTCGAAAGCGCAGTTAAACACAAAAAAAGTTCTCCAGAGCAAAAACATGGATCATGCAAAAGCTCGGGAAGTTTTGAAAATGGCCAAAGAAAAGGCACAAAAGAAGCAGAGTGCAACCTCCTCTTCCAAAAATGCACATTCAAAGGTCCACTTCACACGGCGTCTTCAGAACACCAGCTCAGGTTCCCTCCCACCCCGATTGCGTTTAAAGCCACAAAGGTATCGGAATGAAGAAAATGACTCTTCTCTCAAGACAGGACTTGAGAAAATACGGAGCGGCAAGATGGCAACTAAGCCCCAGTCTCGCTGCTCCTCCACCCGCTCAGCAGGTGAGGCCCCTTCAGAAAGTCAGAGCCCCTCAAAAGGCTCTGAAGAGGCCAGCGGTGAGGTTCAGGACACGAGTGAAGTGCATGTAACTGTTGATCAGGATGAACACCAGACACTGGGCAAGAGAGGCAGCAAAAGCAATATAACGGTTTACATGACCCTTAATCAAAAGAAATCTGACTCTTCCAGTGCGTCAGTGTGTAGTAGTGATAGCACAGATGATCTGAAATCTACCAACTCCGAGTGTAGCTCTACTGAAAGCTTTGATTTTCCTCCAGGCAGCATGCATGCACCTTCCTCCTCCTCCTCCTCTTCCAAGGAAGAGAAAAAGCTCAGTAATTCCTTGAAAACGGAAGTGTTTTCCAAAAACGTCTCTAAATGTGTCACACCAGATGGCAGGACCGTATGCGTAGGGGACATTGTTTGGGCCAAGATTTACGGCTTCCCTTGGTGGCCAGCCCGTGTTCTTACCATAACTGTGAGCCGGAAAGATAACGGCCTCTTAGTTCGCCAGGAGGCTCGCATCTCGTGGTTCGGCTCCACAACAACATCTTTTCTCGCTCTTGCACAACTCTCCCCCTTTTTAGAAAGCTTCCAGTTGCGCTTTAATAAGAAGAGAAAGGGCCTTTACCGCAAGGCCGTCACAGAGGCAGCGAAGGCTGCTAAGCAGCTGACTCCCGAGGTTCGGGCCCTGCTGACGCAGTTTGAAACGTGAACGTGGACAGTAAGGTAGGCAAGAGATCTGGAGGCTCCGCAAAATTCATAGCCTAGTTAGGGGACTGCCGTGAAGGACTGGCCAGGTCAGAAGTTGCACTCGGTTGACTGCTCTTTTTATACTCAAGTCGTTCCATTTGTAGCGGTTTCTTGGCAGTTAAACAAATTGAACATGCAATCAAAATTAGCCTACAGTGAGAACTTCGGTATTTTTCAAGCGAGAATTTTTTTTTAAAGAAAAAGAAAACTCCTCAAACACCCAATGCATAGGAGCCATAGCCTCAGCTGAAAGGCAGCTTATTTGCAGGGACTTTTTTAGTAGTTTCTACCCAGTATATAAGTAGTTGCTGTGTGGCAAGGGGTTAACACGAGGGATGAAAGTAGTAGCTGTGACTTTTTTTTTGTTTGTTTGTTTTAGGTGGCCCATCAGGGAAGTGTAGAAATGTAAGCCTTGTCTAAATGGTCTTTAAAGATTATTTTAAATAGCCCCTGATGCGTTTAGTCTGGCCAGTGGCAACTGGTGGCGAGCTTCCCCCTCCTCTGGAGGCACGCCCCGGTCCACGCGGGCCAGTCCGAACGGCGTCAGGCGGCTTGCTGGAAGGTTTAAGGAAGAAGAATTCGTGGAACTTAAAGACCAGATTAAATGGGGTTTTATCGTAGTGACCACTTGAACACTCGGCCTTTCTATGCACGTGGGGGCACACGTCTGACACTTCAGGGTCTGAGAAGCTGAGAGGGATGCCTGTAGCTCTGACAAAGCCGAGAGGCTGCTCGGCGTTTGGGATCAAGGGCTGTTAATGCTGCATAGGTGTGAATCGTGACTTCTGGTCTTTCTTCCTGAAGAAATCTTTCGGGCCATTTGCCTGGAGGTTTAGATTGAGAGAGGCTTTGTTTTGAATGTGTAAATAATTGATTGCTGAAATTGGTCAGATTTTCTCCTGACTGGTTGTTCCTAAATTCTTAGGATACGTCCTAGTAAATTACACTTTGTGAATTGTCAGATGTGTAATTGTTGCATTTTGGATGTATCTAACTTCATTTTTTTAAATATTTCCGTTTAAGGTATCTGTTTGCAGGTCAGAAAATGAGAATATGTAATTGTGTAATGCTCTGAAATGTAAAAAAACAAACTGTAAATAAAATTGACTAAATCTGAATTATTTGTGTGTGTTTCTCAAAAAGCTTTGAAAAACAAATCCAGGATGTTAGAGTACTTCATATGTATGCCGTATTTAGAGGACACCCTTTTAAAAAGTAAATTGTCCTTTTTCATGCATTCTTAAAGATAACCGCTTGGTGTAAAGCCCTGTTGGTATACTTCAGCCTTAATTTCGAGATTGAGCAATTGCCTGTCCCTCTTGTTTCAAAGCTAGCTCTGTAGAGGGCCGTCAGGTTTATCAGATTCTCCCTTAGCGAGATTTTGCTCCGTATATTTGAACAAAGACTGCGGATAGTGTCGCTTGCACAGTGGGGAAACGTTCTCAGCTTTCTCCATCTATCGAAACTTAATCAGACCCACTCTCCGCTGTTACTCCAGCTCCTCTTGCATGTCTCTCGCTCACTGTTGGGGCATTTTCATGCAACTGACTTTACGTTTTTCCTTCTAGTTTTGGTCCTTACCTGACCATGTGAATTCCTGTCTCTTCTCCAGCCCACTCCTGTTTCAGCCTTGCAAGGCCTTGTGAAGAACCTCTCGGCGTTCATCCCAAAGCAGTTCTCATCCTGTTTTTTCCGTAATTGCCCATGCAGGCAATCATGACAGATGTGAAAATTTAAGCTTAGACTGAAATTAGATTTTAAAGAGACATGAAAATGGGAGTAAGGATTTAATCATCAAACCCTTAATCTTTTTAACTTAAGATGAAATTTTGTATGTTTGTGATTTTGTCTGGTCTTTCCAAAGCGTTCAGTTTCTTTCTACCTTTTTAAATTATTCCGTGGTGCCCACAGAACTATTGGGAGTCTGAAGTGTCAAATACATGGCCGTTCCAATTTTCCTCAAGTTTACAGTAGTCTGTTAGGCGCTAATTAAGCTTCCAAATCTACCAGCTTTACCTTGGCATTCTAACAGTTATAAAAACCAAACCAGACCACTAGTCAATGCTTTTTGAATGTGATAAACACACAATAAATTTCATAATGTGGAAAAAAAAAATTGAAAAAAAATTCTGTTTCACTTCTATGTATTCTTTCCTGCAAACAGAAACAGTTACTCTGTTTAAGTAAATAAGCTGTACTTTGTTACCAAGCAGGCTACTTTTTGAAGTCAGGACCCATATAATGGTTTAGATGTCTACATGAGTTCCTTGGGGTTTAGAAGCTCAAGTGAACTGGTTAGAAGTTAGCTGTTCTGAGCCAAGTAGTGGTAAAATCAGTATTTACATGGTTCATTTTTTTTTTTTTTTTAAGACCTGGAAGCTTTGTGCTCTTCATATGAAGTTAGAATAGTGCTGAAGCAGACGTAGTCAGAGCTTGCTCAGGTGTTTGCTGGTAAGATGGGAGAGCCACCAGTGTAAAAGGGGTTTCTTTAGATTGTTTTATGAAAGACATTTCAAGAGCCTTAGTTTTGGTTTGTAGCTGATCAGTCTTTTAAGTCTTTCCTGAGTTTTATAGTGAATGTGCGTTATCACTTCGGACTTAACGGGTCTCAAAACAATAGACTTTTATTTTCTTTTACAACACCACGTTACATGAGGTTGAAAATACCCTGTTCATGCTGGGCCATGATTTCCTTTTCACTCTGAGGCAGCTAACGCTCTAGGTACAGCAGAATTTACAGCGGAGGAGGTGTCGGGCGCAATGCAAAGTCCGGTTACGGTGAGCAAGCGTGGTTGGGGCGGCGTGGGTGCTCTGCGGGCTCCGGCAGCGCTCCGTGCCGCTCAGCCG